AACATGGCCAACTTCTCAAGTGTTTCTTTAATCAAAGTTGGGGCCGGTTTGTTGTAAGCTGCCGTGCAAATAGCCCGCTGCGACCCAGAGTACGGCTGTTCAACCAACGTATATGCCGCTTTGAGCTTCATGCGCATATCTGTACCAAGATGAGCAATCCGGGTGCCTGTCACGGTTTAACATTAGCATTCTGGTCAAAGATAAGGTTCAACAAGTTATACCAAATATATAAAGGACACACTTACCAAAGATTGCAGAAGTCATGGCATTAATTTGCCGTTTCAAACCAACCAGTTCCTCCGCAACCGGTTTCAAGGCAGCCTTGGCGTCTTCGGCACTCTTTATTAAACCGGATTTCTCGATCTCCCATTCAGCACGGTCTTTGTTGAAAGATTCTTTGAGTTTTTCCATGGCGGCTAGGGCTTTCGTTAGCTTCTCTTTGGTTTTCGTGGCTTCTTCTTGTTGGGACTTCACATTGTTTTGCAAATCAATGTTTTGGGCCTCTTTATTCCTCAGATCAGACTGCAAACATTGAAGATATATCAAATGACAGGATACGTACATATTTTAAGTACAAATCGCATAACAGGCTATGCACTTCGTACTTGGGGGCTAATGCCTATTTGCTCTAAATTGCTACAGTTTATACAAGTCTCTAGAACAATGTAAACATTATCCTTGACACTTGGGGGCTAATGTATGTTGATTCAAAAACGGATGCATGGATTAAAACCCGGATTAACTTGCTAGAGTTAAACCGGCCTTTGGGGGATACGCGGCAGAAAGCTATCTATTTGCTAAAGGGTAAATCTGGTTCTTATCAGTGGCTTAAAGTGTTATGAAGACCCGGGTTATGATTCACATTATAACCCGGCCCTTGGGGGCTATTTGGGCTAGCATTTCCAGACTATGAATTAAGATACAAAGGAGGAAGAAAATACCTCATATTGCCCCTTCATCAAATTTACCAAACCGGCTTCATAATCCCGGTTTGCGTGCAAGCGATTAAAAAGGCAGAGTGAAGCTCCTCCGCGTTAAGATGAGCATAACTTGCCAAATCACTACTCCATTTGCCTTTTTCTCTAGCAGACTGCTCTTCTTTGGCACTATGTTGAGCCAAAACTACAGAATGGCCAGGAGAGCTATGGCCTATTCCAGTAATAATAACGTCATCACCTTGGCCTTCAGGGTTTTTGGTTGATGATATTGGAATTTCAGCATCTTTCACCGGACTAGCCCGGTTTGGTTCTGCCGGTTTAGTATCGGGCGCGGCAGGCTCAGTGTTTGTTGGCTCATCAGTATTTTGGCCTTCAAGGGGCGGGTCATCAGAAGTAGCTTCAGGATGAGGGCCTTTCGGTTCATAAGTTTGTTTTGGTTCACCTCTTGGTTCTTCTTCTTCGGCGGCGGGGTCTTCGGGCGGATTGGTGACCCGAGCTTTCTTGTTGGGTCTGGCTTTGGCCCTGCAAACAGAATAAAAGAGGATTAACATCTTATTCGAAGGATTTATGACGCATTGAAAGGAAAGGTTTTTACAGCTTACCCAACCACAGTTTTCAAAGGGGGGAGTTGAGTTGCTGTCGATTCACCAGAAGATGAAGGGGGTGTCACCTGATAATATGAATCGGATGGATTAAGAGGCTGTCTGAAATAACCTGCCTTGGGGTAAGAATGGTCAGAAGTAGGAGAGACCTCAGACCGGCGCTTCCGAACCGGGGTATCAGGTAAACCGGCTGAAGTGACTTGCTGGCCACTGTGCCGGGTTGTCCGGCGAGCTTCATGCTGCCGAGTCTTCAAAATAAATGTTGGATCCAAGTGAGCAAGAGGATGAGAAAAACTTACTTTCCGGACTGCTTGGCGAGTTTTTTGTGTTGGCATAGAGTTTGAACCGGAGGAAAGGGTAATTACCTCTACATCATCAGCCTGACTAGCTTCTGCGTCCTCCCGAGGAAGATCATTGTTAATGAGATGCATGAAAAGAGAGCCAAGTGAGTCAAGTTCTACCTCAACTTCTGCATCATCAGTGTCATCATCAAGCTCCATGTTGATCCGGTCAGCCGTTTTCCGTTTTGACGTCCGTTTTACGGCTTTGGTTTTGGGGCGGGATGGCTTGACCACTTTATCCCCAGTCGGCTTTGCCGCTTTTTCTACGGTTTTCCATTTCCAGAAGGGGTCATCACCCTACATACATAAAAGAAGGATTACAGGTTGTATAAGCTAAAAATATTAGAGATAAAAAGGAAGTATAATGCTTACAGCAGGCGGTTTGTTCTTGGCATAGAAGGGACTCAGACCGGTTTGACTATAGATCAGTTCCGATTCATTCAGAATCTTCTTTACACCTTCAGTGACTTCTTCCTCAGATAATTGAAGGTTGCAATGGCGTTAAGGGTCGTCAACCTCACCGGTATACTCACACATTAAACCGGAACGCCGGCTTAGTGGCAAGATACTCCAGGATATCCAACAGCGCACAAAGTCCACGCCTGTTAAACAGTTCGCCATAAAGGCCCGGAGTTTGGCAAGTTGAGGGGCATATTTCGCCCTTTCTGAAGAGCTCAGGCGTTGTGGCACTGGATGGGCGTTGGATAATCTGTGATCACGAAAGTCGGGGAGGGTATTTTCATCTTCAGGGGATGTATCTCTGCAATAAAACCAAGTTTGGTTCCATTCCTTTGGAAGGTTGTGCAATTTGGCATGAGGAAATTCAACCTCTTTCTGCTTTTGAATTGAGACACCCCCAAGTTCAGTGTTAGGGCCATTTACAAATTATGTGCGCCGGTTTAAATGAAAGAAGTCCCGGAACAGCTTGGCGGTTGGTTCTTCTTGTAAATATACTTCACAGAAGACATGGAAGTTGCATAAATTGAAGATCGAGTTGGGACCAATATCTTGAGGATGAAGTTGGAAGCTGGCAAGTACATCTCGGTAAAATTTTGACCCTGGCGGTTTGAAGCCACAGCTTATGTGGTCAACAAAGACAACCACCTCACCCTGCCTTGGGGTTGGAGGATTTTCTACTCCTGGAACTCGCCATTTGATTTCAGTTTTCTTAGCCAAAGTGCCAATGCTGACCATATCATTCAATTGTTCCTCTTTGACCCGGTAATGAGCCCAGTTGCAAGCGGTGAATTGCTTGGCCATCGTGGAACAAACGAGCTGGAAACAAAAGGCCAGTTTATAAATCACACAGGATAACATACAAGATGCAAGGGAGTAAAATATGCCCTGATAGGGGACATGGCATAAACCGGAGATCAATGCAATAATGCATAAAAGGTAGTACCACGACAGGGGTACTCAGACACTGTTAAGCCGGAATATAATTATGGAGGTAAAAGGCTCTTCCGGTTTATCAGAGGGCTGATGGTATAGATTTCTTATACAAAATTAAATCGCCTATGATGGTGTGAGGAGAAACAGATTTCACAGAGGTATGCGAAATTTTCGGATCTAAGATAAGACAGAAAAGTAAAAATAATTGGATCTAGAAAGGGTGAAGAACCGAAGCAACTTATGAAGGACTAGATCAGTTCTTTGCGCATAAGGGTTGTGGTGATAACAGAAGATTAGCTACGGCAAGGAGTACGTCAGGTACGAAGTGTTCACCTAAAGGCCAAGGAAGAACAACACTAAAAGCTCTGATGAACCTCAAGAACAGCGAAGAGCGAGGAAACCCTAATGGATCTAGGAAAGAAGGGGGAAAGGACTTACTGCAACCGCGAAAGCAGCGGAAGGGCACTGAGGAACTCTGGTGCGAACAGGTTGATGCAGCGGCCAACGGCGAAGCAGAGGCGAGGTTCGAAGATGGCGGCGGCGCTCGAGTGTGGGGTCGTCGAGAGGAAGAAGAAGAGATGAATGGGTAGCGGAAAGAAAAGAAAGGGGTCCTCTGCCCCTATTTATAAGGCAAAGTGATAAAACGGCAAGTGCGAGAATCGAGGAGCCCAAAAATGGATAAATTAATAAAAGTGTCGCCTCGGTGACTGAATACACATTAAATGAAGGTAATTGTCGACATCAACGGATAGATGATGTCAGGGCGGTTTATCATAATCTAGGAGTATGACGTCACGGCGGTTTACAAGATCAAGGTGAAGATATGAGGGAAGAATTTTTCTAAGTGTAGAAGATTGACATGAACAAGTTCAAACCAATCCGGAGCCTAATGTTGGGGATATTACTACTGGAGGTAAACCGGCCTTATGTAGCTGGGTTAACTCGTTGAAGATTAGAAGCCCATGAAGATGCAAGGATGATGGCGCTTCACGAAGGCCGAAGGCCCAAAGGCGGGTTAAAGCCTATAAATGTAAACCGACCTAGTCATGTAACTTGTATTATAAGATAGGAAGGATAGAGACCGAACCGGATACGTTTATGATCCGGCTTCGGAACTCTGTAGCCCGGCGGGTGTCAACCTATGTATATAAAGGGACAACCCGGCCGCAGTTTAGGGACAGACAACAACTCGAGAGCCAGACAAAGCGGATTCGCTCCCTGACCTTCGAAACCCTAGCAATACCAATCACAACTAGACGTAGGCTTTTACCTTCCTTGAAGGGGCCGAACTAGTATAAAATCCCCGTGTCCTCTTGTCCGGTTTAACCCGTTTGAGCTAACCCGTAGCGATGGCTCCACGACTAAATCCTTTTACAAGGACATCTGCCGTGACAAACCCACGACAGCAGCCGAGCTGGAGGAGGTTGAGGAGCAATGCAGGATGAAGAGGATGGGAGATTCCACAAGGAGTTGACTGTAGTTTTCTTTTTCTTTTTAGAATTTCTTGTAATATTGATGTCTGATTAATTTCGGTTGAATTTAACTAACAAGAGTGAACTTAACAATTACCAAATCTAACATTGAGGAACTCACAATTACCAACCCAGTAACTACGAGTCGGTCAAGTCAAACCAACCGGTCCGGTTAACCCGACGACCGGTGATAGATCGACCTCCTCCTCCCCTCTCCCTCTCCCCCACTAGTCCGTCCCACTCTCCTCCGCGGCCATGGATCCGGCCCCCGATCCGCCCGCCGCCGACGAGGCCCTGGCGGCGCTGTCCCTCCGCGGCGCCGACCTGCCGGCGGACTTCGCCTCCGCCGGCGGCGGCCACGAGATCGCCGAGGAGGAGGACGAGGACGACGAGGGGTACGTGACGGCCGCGTCCAGGGGCGGGAGCAGCACGGCCGCGTCCCGGCGGAGGGAGGAGTTCGAGGGGCTCGAGGAGGAGGAGGAGGACGCCTACGGCGACGCCGGCCCGCCCAGCCCCAGCAGCAGCGGCTACGCCGGCGAGCGGGGCAGCAGCGTCGCCTCCAGCGCCGGCGCCGGCGGCGGCATCGAGGAGGCCGAGCCCGACCCCGCCCCACCCCTCGCCCCCGGCGCCGAGGACTGGGCCCGCGGCAAGAAGCACGCCGACGAGGTCCTTCTCCTCTTCTTGTTTCTTGAGCTACTTCAATCATCTAATCATGGATTAGTCTTCCCTCAATACATATCCATGCTCACTCGTGAATGTATTTATGGATCTAAAAACTACCAAACCTGCAGTACCTAATTTCCAAACTTCCGTTTTCTACTACCTTTTCGGTGACCTTGGTGGCATTCAAGCCAAGTTTGCACGCGCCGCAGTAGCTGCTACTGCTGGAGGTGTAGGTGTTTGTGTGATCTCAGCCTGAATGTGTTTCATCCATGATGTTCCAGGATGATGGTTCAGCTTCATGGAGGAAGAGAAAGAAGCATTTCTTCATTCTAAGCAACTCCGGCAAGCCGATATACTCTAGGTAAAATCACTTAGGAATCGGAATTAGTGATAGAGTTTACCAAGAATTGCTGCACTTTCTCAGGTAAAACCATAACATCACATTTCCTTCGTCTGGTTCAACTTCTAGGTATGGAGATGAGCACAGGTTAGCTGGGTTTTCTGCTACACTGCAAGCGATTGTTTCTTTTGTGGAGAACAGGTATGCTTTTCCGCCTTTCCTGATTGCAATGATTAGTGTCCTTAACCCTTTCCTGTGGCTGTACTGAATTTTCTTGGTGTTGTTTCTTCTTATCCAGTGGTGATCATATCAAATTTGTGAGAGCTGGAAAGCATCAGGTCAGATGGCCTTCCATGTCCAAAATTTACTCTGTTCTTGTAATCTTACTTCAGGATAATGCATCATGCGCCTGAACAATCAGACACCACTAACATGGGCATTTCACTGGAAATCCCTTTGATGTATTCTAAGTTGATTTTACGCTGTTCTTTCAGATAGTTTTCCTTGTCAAAGGTCCCATATATTTAGTTTGTATAAGTTGCACTGAAGAGACGTTTGAAGGATTGAGGGGCCAACTAGAGCTCATGTATGGTCAGGTGCTTCCACTGTTGCATTCATCTTAACACATTTGAATTTCTTGCATTTTTATTGTAATTATTATACAGTCTTGCGTTTCCATTCTTATGCTGATTTCTGTCTGAAAACACAAATTTGCAGATGTTGCTTATATTGACAAAGTCGGTCAATAGGTGCTTTGAGAAGAATCCTAAATTTGACATGGCACCACTTCTAGGTGGCACAGATGCGGTTTTCCTATGTCTTATACGCGCATTCAGCTGGTTAGCTTGTTTCCTTTTTCTTTCTATGGATTCCCATCTTAATACATTTTGGACTTTAGTGTTTAGTTGAAATCTTATTGAACCATTCTACAGGAATCCTGCTACATTTCTTCATGCATACACATGCCTTCCCCTTGCCCAATCAACAAGACAGGCTGCTAGCGCAGTTTTGCAGGACATTGCTGATTCGGGAGTTCTGTTTGCACTGTTGATGTGTGATCACAAGGTTTGTCCAATTTGCTGCCATGACTTCCATTTTCATACTAACCCCATTTGACATTTTCATCTTACTGTACTGAAGTCATGCTTATTTTGTAAGATGTAACATTTTTCATATTATAGTTACTTCTGAAAACTCTTTAGGTGCCACTTGCACTTTCCAGAGCTTCATATAACATGGGTATAAAACTTTATTGTCAGTCTGTCAGTCAGTTACGTCTTTTACCATATGTCCATATCCAAAGTGGGATTCCACATTTCTGAGAACTTCTGTAGAAATCTTTTTTTAGAGTTAATGGCCTTCCGCGAATAGTCTACGGGTTTTTGTGCTCTGTAGCTTGCCAAAGGGTGCCAGTACCATTTAAGGCACCAAACTTTATCCATATCAAATATTCCACTTGTGGTTGCTAGTGTTTGGAGACATTTAACGCAAATCATTTATTTTCTTTAGTCCTCTATTTGTCTGTGAGAGCTACATTTTTTTGTTAATTTCAGGTTTGTCCAATTTCCTGTCAAAACTTCCATTGTGCTACTTAGTTCATTTGACTCTTTAATCAAAGTGTCCTGGAATCCTGCTTATGTGCTAAAATGTAACACATTTCTTATTATAGTTACATTTTAGATTCCACTTGACCTTTCTAAAGGTTCATACAACAGTATCATAAATCTTACTTTGTCGTCAGTCAATTAGTTATGTCTTCCACCATGTCCAAGTTGATATGCCACATTTCTTTGAATTCTGTAGAAATATTGCCATTTTTATTCTTTGGTATCAGATGTTTTCGATCTCTTCAGTAGACTCAACGACTTCTGTGTTCTGTAGCTTGACGAACGGTACCAATACCAATATGGATTGCTCTCATGCTAATGTTAGTTATTATGTGCTTCTAGTTCTAGCCAATTTTGCGTCTGCCATCCCATCACGAGAAACAGAACTTTGGCCATTGCCAAATATTACACTTATGATTGCAACTTTGCAAGTCTATGGAGATGGATACATAAATCTTATATTTTTGTTAGTCCTCTGTGTTCATGTTTCTGAGAGCTATGATCTTGGTTAATTTTCAGGTTATTAGTCTTGTGGGAGCACAAAAGGCAACTTTGCATCCTGATGATATATTACTACTTGCAAATTTCATATTGTCCTCCGAATCTTTTAGGTAATCATCACATACTATCTGAAATGAAAAACCTTGACCTACAAGCATCTTACAAGATTTGTCTGTTTAACGCAGGACTTCGGAGTCTTTTTCACCCATATGCTTGCCAAGATACAATCCTATGGCCTTCCTATACGCTTATGTTCATTTTTTTGATGTGAGTAAAATAGGTGCATCTGAATATGCATGTTCACTTAAGTGTGCCGGCAATATCCTCATTATGAGAATTATGATGCATGTCTTACGACACAGATGCAGACTTGTAGAAGTTTATATGCACTGCTGATTAAATTTTATTTATTAGTTTCGGTTTGAGAAAGTCATTTTATTATATGAACTAATCTTTTCTCTATGGCAGGAAAATACTTACTTGACTCTTCTTACTCCGAGATCAGATGCCTTCTTTGATTTGAAAGATTCAAGGTGAGGTACACATTAAACTGTGTAACACTTAGTTAAAGTATCACAAGATAATGAGTGAATGCTGCCTAATATAATATGTATTGGAACTGAGACAACTACTCTTTTGTCAACGATGTCTAGGGCCCGCATTCAGGATGTTCTATTGAAATCAAATGTCCTTCTCGAAGTCCAAAGGTCTTTACATGAGAATGTTCTGCGTGTTGAAGATGTCCCCATTGATCCTACTTCTCAATCTACATCAGCTCCTGCACAGTCTTCTCAAGGCCTAAATTCCCAACCATTGTCTTCTGATGAGGCAATTGGTGGACCAGCTGGACTTTGGCATTTTATATACAAAAGTGTCTACCTTGACCAGTATGTATCGTCTGAGTTTGCCTTGCCCATAAGAAATCCCAAGCAACAGAAGAGGTATTGAATATCGATGACAGTACATTATTTACTTCTGTATTAGTGAACTGTCTTTGAGAGAATATCTGATGTGTGCAGATTGTACAAGGCTTATCAAAAGGTTTATGCTTCCATGCATGATAAAGCAACTGGTCCGCACAAAACTCAATTCAGAAGAACTGAGGATTATGGTGAGTTACACAGGCGCTCCACAACTTACTTCCTTGTGTTTAGAATTTTGATTGGATTGTTTCTGTTAGTTGATTCCCCGAGTTATACTTCTTGTTATATAATGTGTTGGTAAGCAACTATAGAAATATGCAAATCGTTCCCAGTGTATTTTGCTGCTTTGATAGCCAATTAGCCACATATGCTATTGGGATCATTTGTCTGGAAACAAAGGGATGTATAAACTGAATTTGCAGAATAATGAAGACAGATTTGATCAAGCTCCACTCATGTCCATAACTCTGATATATGCTAGTGTCTGGGGGTATATTTGAACTAGAAACTACTCCCTCCGTTCCACAATGTAGTGTGTATAGATTTTTTGAAAAGTCAAGCTTTATAAACTTTGACCAAGTTTGTAGAGAAAAATATATACATCTAGAATACCAAATACGTATTCTTAGATACATCACATGACGTGCTTTCATATTGTATATATTTGATATTGTAGATATAAATAATTTTCTCTATAAAATTGGTAAAATTTTGTGAAGTTTGACTTTTCAGAAAATTTATATGCACTACATTATGGCCATTTGATGACATCTTCAACCTTCGAGAGAGATGAAGCTATTACCTTTTATTCTAGTTGCTACATGATTCTAAGACGCACATTTTTCTCATTCACATGATGTGATTGTGCGATCTCAACTTCTGCAAGCAAAGCTATTTAACGAAGCTCTGTTCTGAAACCATGAGGCATATAGTATGCAGGGAATTAATATCTTGTATCTTTTCTGTAAGACCAGTTTTTGAATGTTTACAAATACAGGCACATGTGCAGTATGCTGTTCTATTTTATGTTGAATTGGAAACACTTAATTCAAACACCTAAAACCATTCAGTAGTACCATCCGTTCTGCTCACAGACACATACCCATACTCCCATAGGGATATGAGCTGCTAGCTGTTATGGGCACCAGATATGTCTCTACTTGCTGCAGTCGTGGTTCTTTGTCATTGATGTCCTAGGGGTTTTCTCGAATTTTACTAGCTCAAGTGTGATGCTATTTCCTATTTGCCTATGTGTGCCACAGTTACTTTGTTACATAATTTCCCTTTCGTTGCAGTTATGTTGAGCTGGATAACCCAGGATTTTGAGCTGTATGCAGCCTTCAGCCCACTGGCCGACAAGGTTGGCATCTGCCACAAACAGTTCAGCAATACTATCAATCCGTTATTTATCACCGTGTAATAACCTGTTGGATCTTACTTTGAGCACACGTATTTTGCAGACCCAAGCGATCAAGATATGCAACAGAGTATGCCAGTGGATCAGGGATTTAGAGGACAGAGTGTTCATATACGGAGAAAGCACCATTGCCTGGTGATATTTTGTCTTGTATGTAAATTCATGTACTTTTTCTTTTGCCTCTTCCGTCGAATGATTTCATGATTCATGTACTTATCATACCGACACAGGCAATACCATCACTGTTGGGGAGATGTATGAGGTTTGTCTCTGTAACATTCACAAATGTGGTCTGTTTTATTCATGATGATCATTTTTCAAGACAAGTTCAAGCCAATAATTGGTTTTCCATCTGCATCTCGTCGATGGGATCGGGTGCCATTTCTCATTTATGCGGCCTGTAACCTCCTAATTCCCCATGGAATCCAGATTTACATCATGTATATGGGTTTGATTTGAAGAAACTGTTTCTTTTCTTTTCTTCTGTATGTTCAATCAATTCAGAAAAAGTTCAGTCTACAAAGATTACAAAACTTTTCATGGTAGCTGTCACCTTGATTTCCGCCTGAGATAAGTCTGAAAATACATGAATTCCTAAGTATCGTTGACGAGTAGAAAATGAGAAGAGCCGCTACCATGGCCCCCAACCCATGGGAGCACGAGAGCCTGAAGGCGCCGATATGACGGGGCTGGGGATTGGCTGCACAGGTGGCGGGTTGCGCCACTGCGGCACTGGCCCTGCCACCAGCAGGTTCTCCAGGAGAGGCCCTGCCTCCATTACCGCCTGCAGCAGCTGCCCCCTTCGTGGCAATGGCCTCTTGGCCGCCAGCTGCTCGAGCACCGCCGCGGTCCTGTTGTCGTCGATGGCAACTGGCGCGCTCCTGATATCTATGGCGATGGCTGTGCTCCTGTCAATGGCGGTGCTGGCCTCGAGCAAGGAGAAGGTTGGGACGGTGGCGCCTGAGTCGCAGCTGCTTGACGTTGTCGCGGCCAGCAGCAGGTGCTGCCGGAGCTGGTCAAGGTGCTGCTGGAGCTGGTCGCGCTCCTCGGCCGTGCGGCGCACGAGCTCCACCAGGGCGGCGATGCTCTGCTCCTTGCGGCGCACCTCCTCCTTGGCCGCCTCCAGCTCCGCCGTGGCCGTGGCCAGCCTCCGCCTCACCTCCTCCACGATCTGCATGGCACGCCACGGGGACAAAGATTAAACGAAAGGACCCAATGGAAGATCACCAAAGGGCTTCAACGTCTGCTCAAGATCTACAGACGATCTCACTAGAGTGTCAATCAACAACCATTAGAGAAGAAGGCGGAGAGAAGAATTAACCTCTTGGTCTGGGTAAGAAGTAGATTGGAGATCCGGCGGGAGCAGCGGCGTCGGCGGCCAGAGGGAGAAGTCGCCGAGCCCGAGCGGCAGCTCTTGGTCCATCGCCATTGATCTCTCCCTTGCTTTGGGATTAGGATGCCTGCCTTGTGGCAAAAGAAGAAGGCATGGTGAGTACTAATAAAAAGGAAGCCGTAGAGGGAGATGGATAGGAAGGGAGGACAGATGGTGTACAGCCAGCGCCACGAGTCAATGTGGTTTTTCCTCCCTTCCATACACGGCGGCCGTGTTTCCATTCCCGAATGGAAACATTTGGAATGTGCCATCACGCCTTCCTATTATCTCCTCTATAGACGAGAAACACGAAATATAGCAGTAAAATAAATTGCATGGTGAAAGCTATTATTTAATAATTAATTAATTACATTACAGTAAAAATGGAATGAGATTATGAGAAGATGCTGGTTGGCTGGCGGAAGGAAGAAAGGACCGTCCTCGCCGTTACTCTTTCCGTCTTCCCTTTTGCCCTTTTCACCTTTGTGTCTCCTTCCTTTCCTCGTGTTGGGCCCTCCCACGAGGTATCAGCCCGTCCGGCCCCTTCATTTCCTTCATTTCCATCAAAGTGCATTCGAGACTTCCTTGCCGTCAATGCCACTGAAGAGTCCGATTGGACTATAATAGGATTGTTGCAGTGTTGGACCGCCAATGTCATACATTGCATGATACCATGCAATTATGCTTCAAATGCACCGTTGCAGTTAAATAAATATCGTCATGCAGCAAAAATGATGCTTCCATCGTGCCTCCTCGGAACCATGCCGGCCGCCGCTGTTCCATCCGATGGCGGGACAGCCGAATTAGGAGGCGGGGATCCGGTGATTGATTATTCTTTCACTGTGAAGTGGTGTTTCTTTCGATGGCGAAGCATCTATGGTGACTTGGTCAATCTCAGAACCTGTCAGCTCAGCCTTTCATCAGAGGTACTCATAGAGACAAGGTATGTGTGTATGCATTCATAGGGATGAGTATACACCATTCTGGCTGTGTTTAAAAAAAATTTAGACCAAGTAGTACGTGCTATGTGGTGACAGCATGCACGCAGCAGCAGTAGCTACGTCCTGCCCTGGCTAATTGCCTTTTTTTTTGCCAGGGCCTAGCTAATTACTTTTGTCAAAGTTTTTTTTAACATCAGTACAGACACAAGCGAGCATATACACGCGCATATACTCACCTCTATGAACGCACACACGTACACCCTATCCCTATGAGCACCTCCGAAAGACTGAGCTGGCATATCATCTTGAGATTTACGAAGTCACCGTAGGCACCTCGTCGTCGACGGAAACGTCTCCTCCCTTGCACTGGATACGCATGGCTGTTTACTACGGTTGATGTGATTTTTATTCTCCCTCTGTAACGAAATGTAGCGTGTACTGATGCATGCATGTGTTTTGTTCGTGTGTACGTGGCATATGCATGCATTGATTTTCTCAGCAAAAAGGAATGCACAGGTCAGGGTGGTTGCGGTGCGACCCGGATGCGTTACGTCGGGCCCACCTGTCACTGTCAAATCCCCGCAACGCACGCGCCCGGCGGCGAATTGCTCCAAAGTCAGGGTTGACTGTCCCGCATGCATGCGTCCTGTGCGTACGTGCAAACCACGTACTCTCTCCTTTGACCGTCCCGCACGCGTACGTGCGTTAGGCCCGACCACGTACGTACCCTGGAGCAAACTTTGCGTGCTTGCCGGCCGTCCGTCACGCCGTCAACCGACACAAAACTACCCAATGCAGTACGCACGAGCTGATCAAAAAGTTACGCGGATACAGTACAAAACAAGAACGGAGACGCCGCAAGTTGTGTATAGGTACGCACGAACGGACGGTGCAGCACACCAACTTCTCCCAAAGAGGCTTTGTCAAGCTCGAAGAAGTGAATGCCAGTCTCAATATGTCTCGTCCGCCGATGTTGCACCGGGTTGACTGTTATGTAAATAGCAGAGACCCTGCAACGACCGACGACGGGCTGATGAAGCTCCTGCAACAACTGGCAACTAAGATAGTATCAAATATCCCCGAGAAAAACACAAAAACCAGTGGTAGAACGTCCAGTGTCGGGGCATCAGAATACGCTAGGAGTGTGGAAGGTGAGGATGGGTAAATGTGTAGCCCAAGATCCACAGTGCCCTTAAGGTAGCTAAGGATGAGTTTGACAAGATCCACACTGTGGAAGGTGAGAGGAACGCGGAGCGTGCATGAGCAAGGTATTGGTTATACTACAACAAACAGTACAACACGTACGGTAGAGAAACAGAGGCACTTTCTACAAGGCAATAAAAAAGTGCCTTAGATTACCTCCCTTTAAAGGCGTTCTCGACAAAACGCCTTCAAAGGCCCTTGTTAGCCGGCACTTATAAGGAACGCCTCCAAAATATGCTTAATTGCTGGCATTCTGAGAAAGTGCAGCAATATGTAATAGCTTACGGGGCGTTTTGTAAAACACCACTTGAGATTTAGAGGCATTTTGAGAAAACGCTGTAATATCAAAGCGTAGGGGGCATTTCAAAAATTGCCAGCATGCAGCTTTGAAGGCATTCTAGAGGAAAACGCCTCGAAAGCTCGTTTAAAATTTTCAGTTAACCCCCTGTTGTAACAAATATGGCCTGTGAGGCCTTCCACTCGGGCGGCCAGATGGACACGTACACTATACAAATAAAC